GGCTGGCTTTGAACCGCGATCCTCAGATCTCAGCCTCCTGAGTAGCTAGGATTACAGGCGTGAGCCACCAGCGCCCGGCAAGTCTCTATTCTTTATAACTCATGTGCTTGGGGTATTTTGTTACAGCCACAGCAAGGTGCTGGAGCACAGCCATACCATGCTCAAGGCCATTCCCATCCCTGGCATTCCCAACCACCTGCCACCATCTCACCCTCTTAATGCCTAGCAGTGCTTCCTCTGACTACGGTGTAGTTTTTCCTTCCTCCATAATAATGTTCACAATCTGCCTGCAGTTATTTTTTTTTAATTCCAACATGTTTTATTTGTGAATAAAGTCAAAGCGGAAAACTTGTTTCACAAATCTATAGGTAAATGCAAAGGACTAAGAACTGGCAATGTGAACGTGCAGAAACAAACCACGACTAGAGGAATGGTTCTATGAGAGAGCAAAGCCAACCATCACTCATCAGGGAAGGTGCCTGCAGGAATGGACCCAGACGCAAGCAAAGGCAGAGCCGAAATGCTGCCTGCTGGCCAGTAGATGGGGCTGTTTTGAGGCAGGGGCACCTGAAATCACGCCTCTCTCCCTCTTTAGCTGTGTGACTTTGGGGAGATCTGATGGAATACTACAAAGCACCAAGGAAATGGCTGACAAAGACGGAGTTCTTGGAACAAGGAGTTTACAGAAATATTGGGACTTTCCCTATCGTTCTGTATATGAATGGCAATGGCTGGAGAAATCCTTCCGAGCACAAGTTCACTTAAAATGCGCGGCTCCTCTAGTCTTCATTTTGCTGCAGGAAACAGTGCTGACTGAGGTCACATCTTGGGTACTGTTCAAGGTCTTGTTCGATGGCTCTGCTGGTGGCAAATTTGGGAGCATTTCTGGCTGTCTTAAGTGGAGGAGGCTAACGGCATCCTCTGGGGAGAGAGTGGGCTGTGTCCTGCGGTGCACGGCTGAGTCAGCCCCAACAAAGAACAGCCCAGGCCAAATGTCAGTGATACAGAGGCTCAGGGCACAATTCACAGCGCAGCCCGTTACTGTTGCTGGGTGGGTGGGTAGTGGTGTCACATGGAGGACTTGAACTCCTGCTATTCCCTTTGCTTTCTCCCCCTGATCTCCAGTACTGGTTTTTGTTTTTTCTGTCATGGGGAACTCTGGGCCTGGGTGCTGTCCCTGAGCTCTTCAGCTGAATGTGAGCACTCTACCACTTGAGCCACAGCACCACCTCTGGTTTTCTGGTGGTTTATTGGAGATAAGAGTCTCATGAACTTTCCTGCATGGGCTGGCTTTGAACCGGGATCCTCACATCTCAGGCTCCTGAGTAACTAGGATTACAGGTGTGAGCCACCAGCACCCGGCTAGGGCAGATACTGAGTTATGGCTCCAGCCCTGATTTTTGCTCCATTTATGTATGTACGTATGTATGTTGGTTCTGGGGCTTGAACTCTGGGCCTGGGCACGGTCCCTCAGCTTCTCAGCTCAAGGCTAGCGCTCTACCACTTCTTTGCTCCTTATTTCTGAGATAGGGTCTTGGTTCCTGCCTGTGTGTGTGCTTCCAGGTAGCTAGGATAACATTACTGTGTTCAGCTCTTTGTTAAGAAAAAGGATCTCAAAAACTCTTTTTTCCAACCAGGCTAGTTAGCCTTGAACTTCGAGCTCCACTATCTCAGTCTCCGAAGTAACTAGGAAGACAAGCTTGAGCCACCGGGGTCTGGTTTCCCTTTTGCTTTTTAGCTGCACCTTTAAAGGAGAAAGCAGGCTCCAAGGAAGGTAAGCAAACCCTTTCTCACGTGCAGACCCCACCCCAGGCTCTCCCGGCCCACTGGCCCGCAATTATTTAGACTAAGCTTCATATTGTGCCTACCCAAAGCCCTGTCTCCCTACTGGGCTGGAAGTCCCTCCCCCCCTTCAGATGTCAGTACACACCCAGACATCCCACCCCTCAGTGTGGGACTTCCTGGCCAAAGCACAGGTGAGGAGATGAGGGGCGGAGCCAGATGGTGGTGGTGGTGAGTCAGCACTGAATTCAGTGCCGGGTTTCTTGCATCTACTCCGCAGCCTGAGAATGCCTCTCTTGATCATGGATTTCAAAGGCACATCAAAAATGACAACCAGCGCTGGTGGGTCACACCTGTAATGCTAACTACTCAGAGCTAAGGAGCTCAGTTCAAAGGCAGCCCAGTCCGGAAAGCCCAGGTGATCCTTCTCTCCAATCAACCACCCAAAAGCCAGAAGGGGAGCTGTGGCTGTAGAAGTGGAGTGCTAGCCTTGAGGGGAAGCTCAGGGACAGCGCCCACGCCTGAGGGCAAGCCCTAGGACTGGCGCGAAAAAAGAAAAACCAAAAAAGACAATTAGTAAGCTTCGGTGGCTCACACCAGTAACTCTAGCTATCCAGGAGGCTGAGATCTGAGGATCCCAGTTCTAAGCTAGTCCAGGCAGATAAATCCAAGAGACTCTCATTTCCAATTAACCATCAAAGAGCTGGAAGTGGAAGTTTGGCTCAAGTTGTAAAGTGCCTGCCTGAAGTGGACAAAAGCTAAGCAAGAGAGGCCCTGAATTCAAAGCTCTGGTACTGGCACAGGAGAGAAGGGGAGGGAGAATGACATTCTCAGCAAGGTACTTAGAGCCGAATCCGTAATTTTAGCTTCTCTAGAGGCTGATATCTAAGGATCACAGTTTGGAGCCAGCCCAAGCAGATAAATCCAGGATACTTTTTTTTTTTTTGGCTTGAACTCAGGGCCTGGACGCTGTTCCTGTGCCTCTCTGCTCAAGGCTAGCACTCTACCATTTGAGCCCCAACGCCACTTCCAGAGGAATCGAACCCCGAACTTCTACCACTAAGCCATATTCCCAGCCCCAATCCTGGATACTTTTACCTACAATTAGCTAGCAAAACAATTGGCAGTGGAGGCGTGGCTCACATGAAAAACACCAAGCAAAAGCAGGAGGCCCTTAGTTCAAGAGCCAGTACCCCAAATAACAAACGACAACTACAACACAACAACAATAAACAGCTCTCCCCAAATTCTGTTTCCTTTCAAGACTCGGGGTCTGACGGGCTGAGGAACAAGACTCATTCACCACCCCATGTCTACTGTGCCTCCGCCCTGTGGCTCCTCTCAAGACAGACACTTTGTCGTCTGCCAGGTAGCTCCATTTTCCTGACAGCCGCAGGCCCATCTCTGGAGGGCTCAAGTCTCCTAGTCTACTTCAAAGATTTGGGGGTGTGGTCTTCCATTCAAACCAATTTAATTCTGCTATCTGCCAAGGCCCTTGTTTTGTCTACACTTGCTTTTACTTTCTTAGAAATTAATCCATCATTCACTTCAAAGAAAGCAAAAACAAAAATTTTCTTCATGAATTTTTTTGGCAGTTATATAAATAGAACACAAATGTGTTTTTTTCTTGAAAAAAAAAATTAAACCACGGTGGAAAACCAAAATAGGCTGTCTCAAAATATTCTGTGGCATATTTCAGGATGGCTATTCAGAGAAACTGCAATCCTGCGAATAGCGGTGAAAAGCTGTAGAAGACATCTGTGGCCATCCCTATTAGGAAGATCAGAATCCAGCAGGAGAAGCTCTCGGCCATCCCCGCCCTCACCCGCCGTCTGGGAAGCTAGGAAGGCTGCACAGACAAGACACTGGGCAGGAGAGGCTTTAGCATGACCTTGAGCTTCTGGGCGCAGGGGGCCAGCCTAAGTCTCTTGAATAACCCGGATTACATGCATAGACCACACCACTTGGCTCGATTATTCTTTAGAAGGTGGCTACCTGACAGACCTGCAATCAGAAGTCCACCTTCCTTTCCAGGACACTTCCTGCCTCTCCCTACATAACTTGCAAGTTCAAAGTGGTACCACCAAGACGAAATCCAAGCCTCCCCCAGTCTCTTTCTTTTGCCTAGAGGTGGTACAAAAACTTCAATATGGGGTCTTTCTTTGAGCCCCACAATTTGGGAGTCTCTCAAAAGTATTTGTGCAAATACTGAACATGAATGCCCTTTCTCCTCTTACCGAGCTATTGTTTGTTCCAGAGGTTTAAACTACGGAACCTATACACAGTGAAAGAAAAGATTTGTCAGGTGCCTCATGCCTTTAATCCTAACTACACAGGAGGCTGAGATCTGGAGACTGTGATTTGAAGCCAGCGAAGGGCAGGGAAGTCCAGGAGACTCTTAATCTCCAATGAACTCCTCAGAAGAAGCCAAAGTCGCGCTGTGGCTCAAGTGACAAAGCGCTCGCCTTGAACACATTACATTCCCTTTTCCTCAATCCCACACAGCCTCGCTAGGTTCAGCTGCTTCTGTCTTGGATGTGGAGGTATGGCTCAAGTGATAAGAGCTCCAGCTTTGAGTGGAAAAGCTCAAGGTCCTGAATTCAAGCCTCAATACTGCACGTACACTTGACTTACAGCCTTGCATTAGTTTCCATGTTGTTGTAGCATTTGCTCTTTTCACTTGGCAAACAAGCCCAGAAAAGTCATCTGGGGGCGGGGCGGGGGGCTGTACATGTGATCCCTACCCCTTAGCTTTTTTTTTTTTGGCTAAAGGCTGGTACTTTATCACTTGAGCCACAACTCCACGTTCAGCTTTTTGGTGGTTAATTGCAGATCAGAGTCTCACAGAGTTTCCTTTCCAGGCTGGCTTTGAACCAGGGACTGAAGATCTCAACCTCCTGAGTAGCTAGGATTACAGGTGTGAGCCACCAGCGCACACAAGGCTTCAAGAATCTATTCTTAAAGAATAACTTAACCTTTGGAAATAGGCATGAAGGAAGGACACCTTCACCCTCCTCCCCTCTGCTCCGGTAGGGGTGAGGGGTAGCAGCTTGTAGTTTTCTTTCTGTTTCTGATGAGAAAATGTTGGGACCAGGACCGGCATTTTTCTTCTCGTTCAACACTGAGGACTTTGATTGGCAGGTGTATAATTTGAAAAACTGATTTCTCAGATCCAAAGCTGGCAGTGGGAAATGCCTTTTCCAGATGAGAAGGATGCAGGGGTCCCCACCCCACCCCAGCCCAATGTACCTGACTCCCCAGCAAACATGGGGTGGGTGGTGCACCCTCCCTCATCTCCCAATCATGGTGATGAATGTCATATTTCCAACCCCAAAACCCTTTACCTGAAGACGAGAGCGAAGACCTGGGGACAGCTGCTGGTCAAACAGCCTCTGTAGCGACTCCAGGGAAGGCAGAGTCCGGGTGACTTCCCTGCAGGTGAGGGGCCCGGGGAACAGCAAGGGTTAGCGAGGAGCGACCGACGGCAGAGTCCTAGGCCGCACACGCCCCAGCAGGAGAGCTGGCCCACACCCGCCTGGCACGCAGGTGATCCTGCCTCCCGTAAGAACAAGCCCGGGCAAAGGTCAATCTGCTCAGCGCTCGGCCCACCCACCTACCCAGACCCCCACCGTTCCTCAGGCCTATCACACTACATTGGTGATGGCCACAGCTCAGTTTACCTGGTTTGGCTTAGTCCCAGATTAAATTAAAATCTATAAGCACAAAAATTGGAAATCACTTAGGGATCCAGGGATCCCAACCTTTGGTTTTTATAGGACACACACACACACACACACACACACACACACAATGCAAATTTCTGGACTCCAGCCTCCAAATGGAATCTGCATTTTAAATAAAAGGCTTTCTGGGACTGGAGGGTTCCTGGAATTCCGATGCAAATCCTTTCTTAGCACTTTGGGGGCAGGGCAGGGGATTTTTCCTTTGACAATGTCAATTTTAGGGCTTGGATTCTTAGTCCACCCTCTTCTCTCTTTAAAATAAAAAAAAAAAAAAATTAAGTGGTTGCACAGGCAGGTTCAGTTCCGCAAGTCAGATGATGAGTGTAATGCGTTTTGATCAATGTCATCCCCGTCCATCCTCCTCCTCCATCTTTTCTCCCATCTCTTTCAAATATGATGAGTAATTTTGCATTTATTTGTCCACTTATTTCATCAAAATTGCTCATGGCTAGATGCCCATAGCACACGCCTGTAATCCTAGCTTCTCAGGAGGCTTAGATCTGAGGAAGCCTGTGAGACTCTTAACCAATGAACCACCGGAAGAAGGGAGAGGATTCCTGTCTTAAGTGGTAGAGCCTTGAGAGAAAAAGCTAAATGACCTAGGCAGGCACCAGTGGCCCACGCCTGTGATCCTAGCTTCTCAGGAGGCTGAGATCTGAAGATGGTAGGTTAAAGCAAACCCTGGCAGGGAAGTCCATGAGACTTTTATTTACAATTAAACACCAACACCCCTGCCCCTCCCAAGAAGTAGAGCTGTGGCTCAAGTGGTAGATTACTAGCCTCCAGCAAAAACAAGAGCTCAGAGCCCAGGCCTTAGGTTCAAGACCCAGGACCAACATAAAAAAATGTTTTTAAAAAAATAAAAAACTAAGGCTGGGAAAGTGGCTCAGTGGTAGAGCGCTTGCCTTGTATGCATGAGGCCCTGGGTTCGATTCCTCAGCACCACGTAAGCAGGAAAAAAAAAGGCCAGAAGTGGTGCTGTGGCTCAAGTGGTAGAACACTAGCCTTGAGCTGAAGAGCTGAGGGACAGCGCCCAGGCCCAGAGTTCTTGCCCCACGACTGGACCCCCTCCCCCCCCCAAAAAATAAAAAACTATAGCTCATGTCGGTACCAGAAGATGGCTGAATATGATGAGCTTATGTGTAACAACTCTTTCTCTGATTTCTATCAGGGCTCTTTATTTAGCATAGAGGGGTAGGAGTGTGGATCTGATGTGGAACTCCTGGAGTTTGGGTCTAGGGTCTAAAACTGGTTTCAATGTACCAGTGACGGGCACACCAGGACTGTTCAGACATGCAGATCCAATGTCTTATCTGCATTTTTTTAAATGTCTTTTTTTCCCCTGTGTGTGTGTGTGTGTGTGTGTGTGTGTGTGTGTGTGTGCGCGCCAGTATCATGGTTTGAACTAATGGACTCCTGCTTGCTTGGCTTGTTTGCTCATGTCTGCTACTCTATTGAGTTACTACTCCAGTCCAGCTTTTTTCTGGTTCTTTTGGAGATAGGATCTCATACATGTTTCTGCTGGGCTGGCCTCTACCTACCGTCTTCTCCTCCTCTAGATGTCACCTTCCTGGGTAGCTGGGATTACAGGCATGAGCCATTGGTGCCTGGTTCTCTTCTTTTCTTTTTTGGCTGGTCCTGGGGCTTGAACTCAGGGCCTGGGCACTGTCCCTGAGTCTCTTTGTGCTTAAGGTTATAGCGCTTTACCACTTGAGCCACAGCACCAGTTCTGGCTTTTTCTGAGTAGTTTTGCTGGAGATAAGAGTCTTACAGGCTTTCTTATCTGGCTGACTTCAAACCATGAAGTCAGTCTCCTGAGTAGCTAGGATTACAGGAGTGAGCCACTGACCCCAGCTCTCTCCTTTTAATGTGAATAGCAGTAAACATTAATAGTGATGACTACAACATGTCTGAAGCCTTGAATGTACCTGAATTTGTGGTGTGTGTGTGTGTGTGTGTGTGTGTGTGTGTGTGTGTGTGTGTGTACGCTGGTCCTGGGGCTTGAACTCAGGGCCCTGGGCTCTGTCCCTTAGCTTGAAAATTGCAGTCTGAAATCAGCCTGGGCAGGAAAGTCCATGAGACTCTTGCCCCCAATTAACCACCAAAAAACTAGAAGTGGAGTTGTGGCTCAAGTGGTAGAGTGCCAGCCTTCATTGAAAAAGCTAAGGAGAGTGCCCAGGCCCTGAGTTGAAGCCCCAGTACTGTCATGTATGCACACATGCATGTACACACACACACACACACACACACACACACACACTCATCTTAGCCATGTTTTGGGTAATAGAAACACCTTAAACCTGTTTTCTCAATACTTGATTGCTTAGTAAAATGATGAAGTATTGCTAGAAATTCAAGATAGAGATTCCAGATAAATACCAGGAGGCAACTCACTATTTTGGGTTTTCTCTACTGACATTTCCTACATGTGAAGTACTAAAGTTTTTACCTTCCTTTCCTATTTCTCCCTACATTTTTTTTTTTTTTTGGTCAGTGATAGGGCTTGAACTCAGCTTTACCACTTAAAGCTACAGCGTCACTTGTGGTTTGGGGGTGGTTAATTGGAGACAAGAGTCTCATGGACTTTCCTGCCCAGGCTGGTTTTGAACTGTGATCCTTAGAGCTCAGCCTCCTGAGTAGCTAGGATTACAGGCGTGAGCCACCAGAGCCTGGCTATTTCTCCCTACTTTACCTTGCTTTACTGAAAGAAATCCTTGTTAACCTTCTGCTTTATGAGATTTTTTTCCTGTTGTGAGATCCTTCAAAATGCTTTCCACCATGGAGCTCAGTCAAGTTTCTATGAATTTGTGAAAACTAAGAAGCTTGGGGTTCCCCTTAATTTTCTCTTCCTCCAGTGAACATTCTGGAGGCTGCCTCTGGGGAACTGGGAAAACTTTCCACGCCATACTTGGTCTGTTTGGACCTTCCAGAGGTCGCACCATCCTCATCCTGTTCTCTAAAAGTCATTTCATTTCCCTCAAGATTCCCAATCAATTTCTATCTGCAGCAGGTACTGCAAAGCTGGTTTGGCTGAAATCTCAGGTCCATGTTCAATGGAAAGCAGGATGAAAGCTATGCATCACTGCCTCCATTTTGCATCTTCCTTTATGTTCAGTTTTTCCCTCCCCTGTAACTTATTTTGGGTTCCGGGAAGGACATCTTTACAACCCCAAGGAAAGGGACAGCTGAGCCCCCAAGGCTCAGATCACCTGTCAGGGGGCAGTGGCTCTGTGAGCCTGACCATGAAGAAGACAAAGCAAAAGCAGCTTGCTGAGACCACTCCCTAGGACCACCCAAGCCACCTATGACCAGGGCCACTTAATAATTCTTAATAATTCCCACCCAAATGCTGCTTCTATTCAGACCTAAAGCAAGCCAGGCGCCGGTGACTCAACCCTGTAATCCTAGCTACTCAGGAAGCTGAGATCTGAGGAATGAGTGTTCAAGCCAGACCTGGCAACAAATCAGTGAGACTCTGGTCTCCAACATGGCTCAAATGGTAAAGCAGCAGCCTTGAGAGGGCAAAGCTAAGCAAGATTGTAAGGTTCAGAGTCTAAGACACAGTATGAGCAAAAAAAACCCAAACCAAACTAAAAAACCCTCTGGTGTTACATCAAGGACCTTTGACCCTCAGAACTTTTCTTTTGCTTTTTTCCCTAGATCTTTTGTCTCTTTTTTCCTGTGTGTGTGTGTGTGTGTGTGGTGGAGGGGGGGGGGCCTGGGCACAGTCCCTCAGCTTTTTTTTTGCTCAAGGCTGGCCTCCTACTACTTGAGCCACAGCTTCACTTCCAGATTTTTGGTGATTAATTGGAGATAGGAATCTCATCGACTTTCATGCCTGGGCTGTTTTTAAACCATGATCCTCTGATCTCAGCCTCCTGAGTAGCTAGGATTACAGGCCTGTCTAGGATCTTCTGAAATTTCACCTTTCACTTAATCAAGTTTCCATGCCTGGCTATCAGTTGCAGGAGGAATTTAGAATCTTGTGGTGCCTCTAATTCCAACATGAAGTTAACTGTTCAGTAAACACAGACACCTGAGACACAGTAAAAACAGGCACCTGAGAAGCCAGCATGTGGGGGAAGCTGCTGTCAACATAGTAATGACGTTGGGGGTGGCATGGTTCTGGGGATGTCCAGGTAGTAGTGTGGCCCCGGGAGCTCAGCCAGTGTGAAGAAATACCAGAGGACAGACTTAAAAACATACATCCTCCTCAATGAGAGTCTGGCAAAGATCAGGGCATGTCTGTCCAAGCAGAAACAAAAGCTAGCCATCAGCTGCCATGAAATGATGCTTTACAGGGCCGTTTGTATATGTTTCCCCCGGCAATAAGTGCTTTATAACAGTATCAAATGGAACTACGTTTGCCATGGAGACCTATAAAAATGATCAGCATCCAACTGGCTATAAAAGAACATTCATTGAAAGCCAATTCAGCAGAATTAAGCCTGACCTGCCAATGATAACTGCTCAATTTGTCAAAAATTGTCAGATTTACCAAAGGCGCTGCTTTTAAGAGACTTTAAATGGAAAGTGGGATTTGATTACAGATGATGAAAAAGTTTCTTTTCTGCATACTAAGTTCAGATTGATGGATAGAGCAGAAAAATTGACAAGAGAGCTTTAAAACTGCGGAAAGTGGGCTGGGAAGGTGGCTCAGTGGTAGAGTGCTTGCCTCGCATGCCTGAGGCCCTGAGTTCCATTCCTCAGTACCACATAAGCAGAAAAAACTGGAAGTGGCGCGGTAGCTTAAATGGTAGAGTGCTAGCCTAGAGCTGAAGAGCTGAGGGACAGTGCCCAGGCCCAGAGTTCAGGCCCTACAACCGACAAAAAAAAAAAAAAAAAAAAAATGCAGAAAGTTACTGAAATACAAACCAACCCAGGTTGGAAAATTGCGCCCATGCACAGTGCTGTTTTCCCAACCAAACTGGATGCTTCCATTGTGATGGGTTTGCTTTGGCTCCCTGTGACTTCAGTGAGATGCTTTGGAATGTTATCTTCTCCCCGACCTCCAGGTTTTAAGTACTCAAATTTTATTTATTTGCCAGTCCTGGCACTTGAACTCAGGGCCTGAGCACTGTCCCTGAGCTACTTTTGCTCCAGGCTAGTACTCTACCATTTGAACCACAGCACCACTTCTGGCTCTTTCTGTGTATGTGGTACTGAGGAATCGAACCCAGGACTTCATGCATGACAGTCAAGAACTCTACCATTAAGCCACATTCCCAGACCAGTACTCAAAATATTCTTAGCTAATTCCTCTGCTTTTGTACCATCTTACTTTTGGACTTCTAACCATTACAAGGTACTTAAGTTCTTCTTTTTGGGGGAGGGGGTCCTGGAACTTGAACTCTAGGTCTGTGTGCTGTCCTAAGCTCTTTTGCTCAAGGCTAGTGCTCCTCTATGACTTGAGCCACAGACCCACTTCCAACTATTTCAGTGATTACTTGTAGATAAGAATCTCATGGACTTTCCTTCCCTGGGCTGGCTTTGAACTGCAATCCTCAGATTTCAGACGCCTGAGTAGCTAGGATTATAGGCATGAGCCCCAGCACACAGCTTAATTTCATGTTTGAGATAAATGAAAAATTAAGAGTGAAATACCGAAATGATCTTTTTTAAAATTCAGATATTTTTCAACTGGACAGTCATTTCATGAGTTCAATAATGGAACATTGAAGTTTTGGTGAATCAACACTTTTTTAAAATAATTGTGGTTGTTAGGGACTTGGTAGTTCATGCCTTTAACTCTGGATGAGGAGGCTGAGACCTGAGGGTTGAGGATCAAAGCTAGCCCTGGCAGGAAAGGAAGTCCTTGAGACTCTTATCTCCAAGTAATCAGCAAAAACCAAGAAGTGGAGCTCAGGACTCAAGTGGTGGAGCACTAGCCTTGAGTTTAAAAAGAAAAAAAAAGTGGACTTCCATTTATTTCTTCTGGTGCCTCTGTGCTGTTTGGAGGTGGGGGCTGCAGTGGGAAGGAAGATGTCTAAAGGAGCATAGCCTTTAGAGCTATGAGGAGAAGAGGTTCTGGCACCTTCCCAGAGCAGCTGCTTTCAATTAACTGTAGCTAAAAATCAAAACAGACAGGGGCAGGCCAGTTCAGTGTTGGGGTGCTGGCCTAGCATGCACAGGCCCTGGGGCCTTGTGTTGGATTCCTGTACACACACACACACACACACACACACACACACACACACGCTCTCTAAGCTCCAGCCACTGCCCAATTACTGTGGGTGTAATAGAGACATTGAGACATTCTGGCCAGCCCGGGGTCACTCTAATGAGTGCTTTCTCTTGCTGTGGCGGCGGCCTTCCTCGCAGACCAGAACAGCCGTCACCCCCAGTTCCCACCCACTCTGTCCCCACGAGGCCTCGTTACCCATGCAGCTCCTTGCAGAGCAGCGAGGTCAGCTTCTTCAGGTGAGGAAGGCTGCTGGAGCCCATCTTCACAAAGTCAGAGTCCAGGGCCAGCTGAGTGCTCAGATAATCTTGGATGGCTTTCAGATGCTCTTCTGGAAGCCTAGGGAATCAGAAGCAAAATAGAAGGCTGCTTTACCCATCTGTGCCTTTTGGTTACCACGGATAAGAGTGACGATACGTTTGAAGATGCTCAGCCTCTGGCTGAGGCGCGGAAAGTCCCCTCTGTTCAGGGGAGCAGGTCAGGCAAGATGAAGGGGTTGGGGGGAGAAAGGGCGACTGTCTCTCTTGGGACAGGCACCTTGAGTGCTGCTGTGACCATTTAGGAGCTGGGAGCTGGTAGTCCTTTCAACAGGAACCAAGCTAGTGGCTCACACCTGTAATCCCAGCTACTCAGGAGTTGAGAGCCGAGGGTCAAGTTTCAAAGCTGGCCATAGCAGACAAATTTGAGAGCTTCATCTCCTATTAGCCAACATAAAGCTGGAAGTGGAGGTGTGGATCAAGTGGTAGAGTGTCAGTGGAATAGCTGATCAAGAGCATGTAGCCCGGAGTTCAAACCCTAGTACAGGCGTGTATGCATGAGCACACACACACACATACACACACACCTACCACCACCAACAACAACAAAAATGCTGGGGAATGTGTTGTAGGACTATTTCCTTATCTCCAGGTCTTCTATAGGTAGAATCTGAGAGGTGGAGGCAGGATGTAGCCTGAGATAACAGATGGCATTGGTCCAAAGCCAATTCCAGATTCACAGACCAAGGTTTCCCGGAGCACCCCTGCAGAGAGATCTGTGTGATCAGTGACAGCTGGGGTCTGACTTTACCCTCCCTGATCCCTTTGGAATGAGGCCAAAGGCAGGAATTGTTCTCTGTGGACAGTGGCCTGGCTGGAGGCACAGCCAGTTAAGACCTGGCCATGACTGTCACTCAAAGTCTGCTAAGAGCTCTACATCCTATCTCCTGGTCTGGTAAATTTTTAGTTTTTCTTCCTATAGTGACACCACTATTTCCTGGGCATAGCATTCCAGATACTTATTCTCATTTTCTTCTTTAATCCGCAGATCAGTTTTATGAGGCAGGTATTATCACGGTGTTTTTGTTTTGTTTTATGCTCATACTGGGGCTTGAACTCAGGACTGGGCACTGTCCCTTAGCTTTTTTTCTCTCAAGAGTCTTAGCTCTACTTCGGGCTTTTTGCTGGTTATTTAAAGATCAGAGTCTTGTGGACTTTTCTGCCTGGACTGGCTTCAGATCCCAGCCTCCTGGATAGCTAGGATTACAGGTGAGAGCCACCAGGCTTGGCTTTTTTTGTTTGTTGTTATTTTGAGACAAGTTTTCACTCACTATGTGTCCCAGGCTGGCTTGATGCTTGAGACCCTCCTGCCTCAGCCTCTTGAGTGCTGAGGTGACTAGCAGCATGACATAGATGAGTTAGCATTGCGTACTTAGTCATGATACTAAACCAAATCATTAAAAACATTAGTTAAGTGGTTCAAGTGGTAGACTGCTAGCCTTGAGCAAAAAAGACTCAGGAGCAGCACGTAGGCCCTGAGTTCAAACCCCAGAACCCCCACAATCAAACAAAAACCAAATTTATCAGCAAACAGTACACAGGGACTACAACCTGAGAGCCCACATGAAAGTCAGTGGGGATACCCAGATGTGAGAGGAGAGCCAATGAGGATACCCAGATGTGAGAGGAGAGCCAATGGGAATGTGAGAGGAGAGCCAGTGGGGATACCCAGATGTGAGAGGAGAGCCAATGAGGATACCCAGATGTGAGAGGAGAGCCAATGGGAATGTGAGAGGAGAGCCAGTGGGGATGCCCAGATGTGAGAGGAGAGCCAATGAGGATGCTCAAATGTGAGAGGAGAGCCAATGAGGATGCCCAGATGTGAGAGGAGAGCCAATGGGGATGTGAGAGGAGAACCAATGGGGATGCCCAGATGTGAGAGGAGAGCCAATGAGGACGCCCAGATGTGAGAGGAGAGCCAATGGGGATGTGAGAGGTGAGAGGAGAGCCAATGGGGATGTGAGAGGAGAGCCAATGGGGATGCCCAGATGTGAGAGGAGAGCCAATGGGGATGTGAGAGGAGAGCCAATGGGGATGCCCAGATGTGAGAGGAGAGCCAATGGGGATTCCCAGATGTGAGAGGAGAGCCAATGAGGATGCCTAGATGTGAGAGGAGAGCAAATGGGGATGTGAGAGGAGAGCCAATGGGGATGCCCAGATGTGAGAGGAGAGCCAATGGGGATGTGAGAGGAGAGCCAATGGGGATGCCCAGAGGTGAGAGGAGAGCCAATGAGGATGCCCAGATGTGAGAGGAGAGCCAATGGGGATGTGAGAGGAGAGCCAATGGGGATGTGAGAGGAGAGCCAATGGGGATGCCCAGATTCAAGTAGCAAGCACTAGCTATTTGGGCAACTAGTGGCTTGTGAGTGTGGCCTGGTGCTTCCATTGTAAAGGTAGGGCAGCAGCCCTGGCACCTCAATTAGTCTTTCAAGTTGGGAATGTGATGCCAACCTCACCACTGGGGACCTGGAGGCAGACAAGCTTTTCTCACACAGAACTCAAAACTGCTCTTTAATTATTAACTTGTGGAAGTGGCCGTGTCCTAAATTAGTAATTTATCTAGCACATTCTGGTGAGTGATGGTATGCTAAGCAATGCGTTGGGCTCTGAGGATTGTTAAGACAATGAAGGTCCCTCTCAGGGGACAGCAGGCTATCGGCCAGGAGAGCTCAGGGCTCCAGAAGCTGCAGGACCTGGCCAGCATGAACAGAGGAGCAGTAGATCTCCGGGGGACCCAAACCCTGGAACAGCAACTCCAACCCTGGAGTAAAACTTACAAGGCAGCCAGGCACCAGTGGCTCACTCCTGTAATCTAGCCACTCAGGAAGCTGAGATCCAAGGGTCATGGTTTGAAGCCAGTCTGGGCAGGACTCTTATCTCCAATATTCTACTCAGAAAAAAAAAGCCAGAAGTGGCACTGTGGCTCAAGTGGTAGAGCACTAGCTTAGAGCACAAAGAGGCTCAGGGATAGCACCCTGGCCCTGAGTTCAAGCCCTGGGACCAGAAGACAAACAAAATTGAAGAGGCACTGGAGTGGTTTCACTTCATGCCTTCTGCCCCACATGAATGAGTCCATGCTATGGAGAGCTCATCATCCACACTAAGCTTGGACGCAGTCCTCGGCCCCATCTATGGGGGACAAGGAAAGTGGCCAGGTCCATGCGGGACTCAGAGCAGGGGAAGGCGGTGCAGCTGGTGTGTGTGTGGGGGGGCACAGGCAGTTTCTTGATTGGACAGCAGGACATAGTAAACCCCATAGAACCAGAGATTATTTATGGAAAGACAAGATGCTGTTTCCAGTTGCCAGTGGCTCATGCCTGTAATCCTCACTACTCAGGAGGCTGAGATCTGAGGATCATGCTTTGAATTCAGCCCTAGCAGGAAGTCTGTGAGAGTTTTATCTGCAATTAACACCAAAAAGTCTGGGAAGTGGAACTGTGGCTCAAGTGGTAGAGTGTTAGCCTTGGGCAAAACAAACAAGCAAACAAACAAAACCTAAGGGACAGCACCTGCTGTGTGTGAGTCGTGTAGTTCTGCCTGGTCCCACAAGGGACTCAGGGCATTAGACCCCTGGAATTCTGGGGCGTATCTGCACTAGATGAGCCTCCCCCTGACATACGACGGGGCCTGACGGAGCGGGCACGCGCAGGACCATTTGGTGTCATGCAGGCGGAGTCTCCTGTGTGAGCTGCTCATGTGGACATGCGCACTGCCACCTGTCTTCCGGTGGGCTGGGACCGCCGGGCCGCAGCTCGGGGCAGGCAGTGCAGACCCTCCTGGCACCCGCTCTGTGCAGTGGGGCTGCTTTATCTTATGCTTATGACTTCAGGAGGGTCCCCATGACCAGCAAGGCTGGTCTAGGATGCAGGGGACAGCATGAAGACCTGGTGACCGGCAGAGGTGAGAGAAGGCTTCCTTGGCCAAGGGAACAACTTGAAGGCTTCATGAAGGAGCTGAACTTGGTAGGTGGGTGACTAGAAAGAGGGGTGCTCTCCATGTCCCCTCAGGAAGCTCCTCTCCCCCTCCAGCTTCTCTGTGCTTTGGACAAGCCAAGGGCTCCTTGCCCCCCAGTTTTCTGTTGGGAAGAGGCAGACGCCATGTCTGGCCTGACGCAGCTCGATGTCTTCAGCCCAAGCCCTTCGCTGTGCTCCCCATTAATCCTCCACTGCCTAATCAATGGGACCTGTGCAATCACTCATGCACCAAGCCCTCTCAGGAGTCCCCAACTGCGATGTCTTTTTGGGTACAGAGGACGTGTGTGTGTAGCTACAGGAGCGAGCAGGTGCCAGGATGAGGAAGATTCTCTAGCTGAGCATGGAAAGTGGGGGGGCTCCAGGAGGCTCCCTCCCTCCTCAGGGACTAGCTCCTCCTGTCCATGGCTCAGAGGGTCCCACGGATGCCCCTCAAGATGGCTAATTATTCATGCTGGACATCAGGGCTGTCAAGCTAGCAATGAATGACAAGTACACAACATGCAGGGGTTAGCATATTGGTATCTGGATACTTAAAGCTCTAGGGTCCCATTTGTGTTAGCCAGAGTCCCCTGACTCCCAACATAGGCATGGGTACATACAGACACACACACACACACACATGCACACACACACACACACACACACACACCTGTGATCTCTCTGCTCACTGCCTCTTAGTGGCCAGCCCTTTGCCTGACTTGAAGCTGGGCATGGGAAGTGGACCACCACTCTGGATTTCCTGGGCCCAACTCTACCCTTCCTGACACTCCAGTGTGACTTTGAAGGAACACTCCCTCTGCCTTGGACTTTGGTGAGAACACAGGAAAAAGCAAGTCAGTCTTCCAGGGTGGTTGGCACTTAGGAAATGCTGTAGGACTGCCGGTGACCATGGGTGGTGAGTGCCATCCACAAAATTCCACAAAATCTAAGCATAAAAGTGGTCTTGCACTGACAAAGGGAATGACTGAAAGAAGTAATCTTATGATTGGGAAAACATTCCAAAACTTTAAGCAAGGAGCTAGGGGTTGTTCATTCATTCGTTTGTTTGTATCTTGACAAAGTCTCACGGTGTAGTCCAGAATGGCCTCAAACTTGTGATCCTCCTGTCTTGGCCTCCTAAATGCTAGGATTACAAGCATGATTATAAGAAGATAGGTTTTACTAAATAACCCATGCTGCTGATCACATGTATGGTGTATATGTATACATTGTTATATGTTATAGACCGTGATAGACAATTTGCTCCAGGAAAGTTAGAATGAGTTTGTGACTTTAAGTGAGCATCACTAAGAAGGGGTGCTGTGGCTCAAATGGTAGAGTGCTAGCCTTGAGCTGAAGAGCTGAGGGACAGCGCCCAGGCCCAGAGTTCAAGCCCCACGACCAAGAACAACAACAACAAAAATCAGAACAACAAAAAAAACCCTATAATAAATCACTATCCCACAATATTGTGAAATTTGGGAAATTATGTAATCATTTAATCACAATTAAAAAAAAACCACCAGAAAACTAGAAGTGGAGCTATGTAGAGCCTTGAGCTGAATTGCTCAGGGACAGCTCCCAGGCCTAGAGCTCAAGCCCCACAACTGACAAAGAGAGAGAGAGAGAGAGAGAGAGAGAGAGAGAGAGAGAGATCTTTCATGCGATTGTTTCTAACATATTTATAAGATTATGTCTTTGTTGCTTTGTATGTCCCTTCCCCATGGTATAACCCCTGCTTTCACTATATATGATGTTGGTATATGTGGAGGGGAAGGGAAAAAACAAATTGTTAAAACAGGGATACAGGAGGACCCATTGCAACAATGAGATGTACAAGTCGTTATGTCAAAAAAAACGAACTTTACAACTTTGGTGAGGAGGGGACGGGGGGGGGGGTAGGATGTGAAGGGATGGGAAGGGGAAACAAAGGAGGAGGCTACAATGCTTGATAAGAAATGTACTCATTATCTTGCCCATGTAATTGTAACCCCTCTGTACAGTATTTTCACAATAAAAAAATAAAAATAAATAAAAAAAAGAAAATTGTTGTTTTTTCCCCCAAAGATGATGGACCACGGGTTAATATATAAGGAGATCATAAACCTTACTAAGAGCTGGGTGCTGGTAACTCATGCCTGTAATCCTAGCTACTCGAGAGGCTGAGATCTGAGGATTGTGGTTCAAAGTTAGCCTGGGCAGAAAAGTCCCTATGAAACTCTTATCTCCCATTAACCACTTAAAAACCAGAAGTGGAGCTGTGGCTCAAAGTGGTAGAGCACTAGCCTTGTGCAAAAGAGCTCAGAGTCAGTGTCCAGATCCTGAGTTCAAGCGCCACAACCAACCAACCAACAAAAACAAAAACAAAAATCAAACCAAAAAACCAACACAGTAAGAAAAACATTAGATGTTAATAGAAAAGTAATCAAAGGACAAAATAACTTCAAGGGAGGTAATCATGGCTGAATAGAAAGAAATCATGTTCCACCTTGCTCTTAAGGAAAGCAGCAGAGCTGGACGTGGCTGTCAAGTGCAGGATTGAAGTCATCACCCTCACGGTGGAAGTCAGCGTCCACCTTAGAGCCTGGACCTGGGTGAGGAATGCTCAGGTCCCCCTGCCCCCCAGCTGGACACTCACCCACTGGTGTCCATGCTCTGCAGCCGCTGAAACAGGGTCTCGGAGAGGCTGGGCCGGCTGACCTCGGTCCCTCGGGGGGTCTCGACTAGAGGAGGAGGCTCCTTGGCTTCGCAGGGACCGCAGGGACCAGCAGGTGGAGGGATATTTCTAGGTGGCAGCTCCGGCGGGGACATGACACTCTCTACCCAAGACAGTGGCATATGCCCTTGGTGAGGAGGTGGCTGCGTAACCCCACCTCCAAATGCCACCACAGCGCCATGAAGTCCCGCCCACCAACTTCCAGGACCCCATTTGGACCCCATGGTTCCTCCCCTCCCCACTTCCTCCCAGACTCCCGGATTAGACAGGTTGCTTCTTGTGGTAGACTTGGTTTCCTGATCCCCAAATGGGGGGGGGCCTCCCTCTATGTCTGTCTCATTGCGGAGTTTAAACAACCCCTTTCTTGGTCAGTTGGCCTCTCCAGGCCCGGGGATAGAGGGACCTTCAGAGCAGGGCCCCAGGACAGGCCTGGCTCTCAGGGACTCAGGTAAGTACCTCGCATGAGACTGAGTCCTCTCGCTCTGCACCCTCCCCCCAATCTCTGCCTCTTCCCCCAATCTCTGCCCTCCAGTCTCTCTCCCCTCATACCCTTGGAGACAAATTTAAAAAGTGAGAGGGTTCCCTTGTGCGCGCGCGCACACACACACACACACACAGGGCTGCTGGCGCTTGAACTCAGGGACTTATGTTCTGGTTTAGCTTTTTTACTCAAGGCTGGTGCTCTACTTCTTGAATACACGTCTACTTCTTGCTTTTTGCTAGTCAATTGGAGGTGAGAGTTTCATGGACTTTCCTGCCCATGCAGATCTCAGCTTCCTGAGTGGGTAGGATTCCAGGCATGAGCCACCAGCATTCAACTTGAAATGTTAAATGATCAACATGAACTAACATGAACTAGTCTGAAAGACAGGCCCCTTGCCCATGCCTTTCAGGTGGGCATTCTATCACTGAGCCAGGCCTGGAGCCCTTTGCTCATCCTTTTTTTTTTTGGTTGGTCGTGGGGCCTGAACTCTGGGCCTGGGTGCTGTCCCTCAGCTCTTCAGCTCAAGGCGAGCGCTCTACCACTTGAGCCACAGCACCACTTCTGTTTTTTTCTGCTTATGTGTGCTGAGGAATCGAACCCAGGGCCTCATGCATGCAAGGCAAGCACTACCACTGAGCCACCTTCCCAGCCCCTTGCTCATCCTTTGTAGCTCCCTTTCCTGGACATGCCACAAGTAGGCAAAGGTTCTGAGTCCTCGAGTCTAGGACTCCCTGCCCAGATCCCTTCCCACACCTGCTGGCCACTCCCAGCCCTCAGCCACGGCTCTCTCTGAGTACTTTTTTTGAGCCAGTCCTGGCTCAGGGCCTGGGCACTGCCCCTGAGCTTTTTTTTTTCTCAACCACTTGAGCCACAGCTTCACATCTGGCCTTTTGGTGGCTAATTGGAGATTCAAGAGTCTCATAAACTTTCCTGCCCTGGCTGGCTTCAAACTGGGATCCTCAGATCTCAGCCTCCTGAGTTGCTAGGATTATAGGCGTGAGCCACCAGCACCTAGCGGGACTTTCTTTTGGATGGACTGACATTTTACTTCTCTCCCTCTAGGTTTTTAAAGATACTTTTGAGTCTGTGTTGAACCCTAGGAAGTATAGCCTCTTGAGAAGACCTGGGTGGAATTAGCCACCTTGGACCGGGGGTGAGAGGGTGGATGTCCCGTTGCTCTGGGTCCTGTTGACCACTGGGAATCGCATTTGGGGAAGTGAAGCTAGCAATCATGCGACCGGGCTTTCCTTTCCAGTCGGAACAGGAAGTGTGTCAGGACTTCCAGACAGCATCCCGGGGCGTGGCCAGCCAGGGAGGTGTCTGCGGTGGGGAGGTGGGAGGTGGGGGGGGGTGGATTGAGAAAGGTGATGTGAGGAGAGCACCTGCCGGGTCTGGGCCCAGGCCCAGGCCGCCCTGTGGCCCTGGGTGGCACAGCTGGGGCATACTCGGATGATCACCGATTCGCACGTGGCATGTCCCCTCTGACTTGAGCTCAGCCATCATGGAGCCCCAAGGACTCCTCTTACTCAGATTAAAGTTGGCAAGTAGGGCATGGCCTACCTGGGTCTCCTGGAGCTGTAGCCCCTCTGGCTCCTCCACCAGGACTGGGCAGGGGGGAGCTTCTTCAATCTGTCCTCTAATAGGCAGTTGATGTGCTGGGCAGCCACCGGGAGGGGAGGGGGAGGGCTGGTGAACCACCTGGTCCTCCCAACTAGCCCAGGAGAGACAGACAAAGAAGCCCTGCACACACCCAGCCATGGCCAACCAAGGACAGGCAGGATCCAGGCCAGCACTAGGGAAGAGCCCTGAGCAGCTGAGAGGTTCAACAAGGGAAGCCTGAGGTTTTCTGCTAAGAATTGACCTTTGTCCTGGGAGCTATGCCTGTCATCCTAGCTACTCAGGAGTCTAAGATCTTAGGATCATGGTTCAAAGCTAGCCTGAGCAGGAAAGTAGTCCATGAGACTCTTATTTCCAATTAACCACCAAAAAGCCAGAAATGGGGGGTTGAGAAGGTGGCTTAGTGGTAGAGTGCTTGGCTAGCATGCATGAAGCCTTGGGTTCCATTCCTCAGTACCACACAAAGAGAATAAGCCGGAAGTGGTGCTGTTGCTCAAGTGGTAGAGTGCTAGCCTTGAGCACAAAGAGGCTCAAGGACAATGCCCAGGCTCTGAGTTCAAGCTCCAGGATCAGCAAAACAGAAAAAAAAAGAAAAAGCCCAGAGTGGACCTGTGGCTCAAGTGATAGAATGCCTGCCTTGAACTAAAAAGCTCAGGGACAGCTCCCAGACCCTGAGTTCAACCTAAATACTTGTGTGCATGTGTGTGTGCATGCATGCACGTGCACACACACACACACACACACACACACCACACACACACACCACACACACACACACACAAGAATTAACCTTTGAGAGGAGAGGAGAGCGTTTCCAGGAGATCTCTGTTTGGGCACAACTTTGTCGGTGTGGCTTGTCAGCTGGGGTTTGGCCGCACGGTGTTTGGGGCAGGCTGTGCCTTGTCTGTATCTCGGGACTGTATTTATCTTTGCCAATATTCTTTGAGTGGCTGTGTGTTTTTCTCCCCACACTGTCCCCATTCCTTTTTTTTGGGGGGGGGACAGATCTTGCTGTGTCACCCACACTGGCCTAGAACTTGAGATTCTCCTGCTTCAGCCTCCCAGGCTGCTGAGATTAGGGTCACCACACCGAGCTTTGTCCCCCTTGTCCTTCTGCTTCCATTCGAGGATCTCCTCCTTCATTGTGCGCACAGTGAAATTATAATGAGAACTGTAGCGGCTGCTTATATGCTGCTCTCTCTATACTCTGGGGCAACGTTTGTACCCCCCCTTTTCATGCTGGTACTGAGGCTTGAACTCAGGGCCTGGCATAGTCCCTTAGCTCCCCTCCTCCCTCCCCTCAAGGCTAGCCTCTTGTGATATCCTAAAGAGTTACTGCAGCCCCTCTTAAGAGGGAGACTGTGGTTCAGACAGGGCGTGTAATTTTCCCAAAGTCACAAAGCCATTAAGACAGACAGGAATTACAAACTTTTGTTAGCCAATGTCTTGCCCTCTCTACAACAGCTCCGGAACTCTCTAGAAGTCTACAATTTGGAACGTGGAGGGCTAGACTGCAGAGGCACCCCCTCCCCGCCCCTCCTACCCGTGTCTTCCTCCGGGTCTTCGGCTGGGTCCTCCTCTTCCAGCGGTACGGGGTACTGTAGGTGGGTCACCAGCCCCATATTTTCCTTCTTGTAGAACTCTATGAGCTGGTCCAGCTTCGTGAAGAACCTCATGGGGACGCCTTCCGAGGCCTGAGGACCAGACACACTGGGCTGTCAGCTGCCTTGGAATATCATTGAGCCGGGGAGGCTGGGAGCCACTGACCGCAGACCTGAGAAAGCCGGGGGCTCTCCACCCACACCTCGCAGCCTCACATCCTGCCAGAGGGCTGTTGTTCCAAAGACTGTGTGTAGAGCCAGGGCAAGGAAGACATTGTCCCAAAAGAAATGTACTCATTGGGGCTGGGAAGGTGGCTCAGTGGTTGAGTGCTTGCCTTGCATGCATGAGGCCCTGGGTTCGATTCCCCAGCACCACATAAGCAAAAAGAAAAAAGCTGGAAGTGGCGCTGTGGCTCAGGTGGTAG